AAGCATTGGTATTATTCATATGAAACATTTGCTGTTAATCTAGTTATAGCAACTTGTAGAACACATTTTGTGTCTTAGAAATCCTCTTTTAATGAGACATTTCCCAAGTGGTGTTTTTGTTACGTGTTGTCCCTTACATATTGCTATATTTTGTGTGGCTGTTACAGATTCTTGAGGAACAGGATTAGGGTGGGAATTATCCTAATCTAGAAGCACTGAATTGGGAGGTCAGAACAACTTCTAACAAAGCAGTAATGAACATTTTTTATGCACAAGAGCAGCCCGGGTCTGTGTGTGGTTTGCCTCGCAGAGCTCCTGTGGAACCCCGTGGGCACAGCCGGGAATTCCTCGCACTGCGCTGACCTCTGGGGTTGTCTGCCCGGGGTCACCGGCCGTGGCATCAGGAGCAGCTCCTGCTCTGCAGGGGCTCTCGCCGCAGCTGGAAGAGGTTGAACACGGGGCAGAGCCTGCGGCAGAGTTCAGAGAGCAGATGGATCTGGGGACTTCCTTCAGGTGTGACCTCCGCTTCCCAGGTAACGAAGGTTGATGCAGGTGCTCTTACAGAAACGGCTCCAAGACTTGCATCAAATCCCCTGCCAATTGTTCGACCCACGTGCGGGGCAGTGGTGGCCACATGCTGGGCTGGGTAGCAACCAGGAGTTGGGGTTTGTAGTCCCCAGGGAAGAGCAGAAATGCGTCCGTAGGTCCACGCAGCTCTTGGCTGCCAAGTGTCGAGACGATAGCTTAGATGGGTTCAGGAATGGACTAGGCCCTTCCGTAGAGTTTTAACCCATCGCTGTTTGTTTAAATGTGAGTATCCAAATGCAGCTTGGGCTGTGGGGCTCGTCCAGCTGTCACTGAATCACTTCTCCCCCTTCCTCAGCTTCCCAAAGTGGCTGGTTGCAGGAGCATGCAAGAGGTGGGCAGGGATGATGTAGGATGTCACAGCATGGCCGTGGGCTGGCTCGAGCTGCTGAGGACCCACCTCCTCAGAAACTTCAGGTCTGTCTTTCCCAAATGTGTAACCGACATGGATGCTTATTAATGCACCAAGCAAGGAAAGTAGCTGCAGCTGTTCAGACATGTTCTAGAAATAGAGAGAAACGTCCCCAACAGAAGTAGATATTCAGGGTTTTTATGTAATAAATCTATAAATCTGATGAGACAGGAACATATGGTGTTTCTGCTGCCAGATCTTAACCCCTTCACCTTCCTTCCCATCTCAAGGTACAGGGTTTTATTAACAGTAAAAATGTATTTTGATATGTCTTTATCTCAAATTCTGGAGTCAGCAAGATTGTTATTGGGGTGGGGGGAGGACTGGTGTTACACTGAAGTGTAACTATGATGCATTTCTTTTAAAATGCCATCCTAAACAATGAAATAAGTGCTTTCATTCTGTTTGACTTTCTTAGAGCTGTGCAGGAAACACTGTGATTTGCCTCAACAAAATTTGCGAGGGAAAATTAACCTGTGAAACCACCTGCCTTGAGATAATGCAAAGTCAACCCTACAGGCATTTGAATGTCTAGGATTGCATCAGAGAGGATGAAAGATCGTGATGAAAAATAGACTCTTGTGTCTTTGGTGTGATTTGGGAACAGAGATAACGAGGAAGATGGCTCTCAGGAAGGCTACTCCTTTCCCATTGGGGGATTCCTGTAGCCCCCAAATTTTGCTCTCATGAGGGAGAGGGACTGACCAGCAGAGCCCTGATCTGCGCCTTCCTTATCCTTCCTGTTAGGAAAACCCAGCTGAAACGGGGCTGTCCTCTGCAATGCTTTCTGGATCAACACCCTCAGGAGTGCTTCTGCAGCGGGAAGCACAGCTCGTGGTGAGGCTGCCCCCGGGTCTGGGTTGCAGCAGCAGAGCCGCAGTGGAGGGGTGAGGGTCGGGCTCTCGAGGTAAGATGTGACCATGTGGTCGACTTTAATGTATACGGAGTTTGCAGCTCTGTTAATCAGAAATCTGCGGAAGGTGATCTGAGGTGGTGTTCTACCCAAGTCCAGGCCTGATAAGAGAGCTGAGTTTTTTAATTAGTCAGTTGTAGGATATTTACACATCTGTATGGAGCAGGCTGTTGGTTAAACATTGACTTAGCAGAGGAGCTGTGTTTGCTTCCTGCTTTGAGCCCTGACCACGCTGCAGGTGGCAGGGTGTGCTCATTGAGTTTTCCTTGCTTTTAATTTAGAGGTAGTTTAATATGAGGAGCAATAAATATTACTGTGACATTTAAACTGCAAACTAACAAACCAAAGTCTATTTTTCAAATCAGCTCCTATCTAGTGGCACCAAACCTTAAATCTGACCAAAATTCAATCCAAGTGCTAAAAGTATGTGGTGAGGAGATCCTGGCTGTAGATAATTGAAGGGATGTGTTTTAACGCTGCCTAAAAACCAATTTGCAATGTTTATTTCAGGAAACAGGAGGCTCACACTGCTCCTGTTCTGTGTTTGGCTGTGCTTTGCTTTGAAGCAGGGCACGGCGGCTGGTTCTTACTTGTCAGCTGAAGATCCTCTCTGCAAATCCCTCTGTGTGTCAGTTGTCTTTTGTGCTTTAGTGTCTACTGTGACCACACGGACATTTGTTTGACAGGAGTCTGTGACCCTCAAACTGTTTGGTGAGTCATGGAAAGAGGGAAGTCACCCATGCAGAGTTTAATCTGTCCCCCTCCAATAAATTTAATCTCTGCTTGGCAGGCGCTGCTCAGTTACGTGGTGTCTGACCTGGGTATTGAGACTGAGCAACCGGCAGGACTCTGCCTGCAGACGGATCGCCTCTGTGGATGGAGGATGAACATTAATATTCATGAGCGGTTACACATTTACACTGGTAAATATTAAAACTTCTGTATAACACCATCCAGTCTCTGATCTCAAGAATAATTGTCTTTGGACAGAAATGCAGACACGCTTGATAGCCATAGTATGCTTCATAAATGCTCTTTCTTCTAAATAATATGATTTCTTCGAGGGAACAATCTTAATGGCTTTGGTTTTCTGTTTCCAAGCATTTGCGAGGCTTAGGTGACAATTATTTTCTAATCTGATGATGGCGAGTAAAAGTGGTTCGGCCTGTGAAGTTTGGAGGGTTTGTGAGTAGTGTTTTTGTTTCAGCACCTCTGAAATTTGTTTAGCAATTTATATTGGTTCTCCCTTAGTGTATCAATGTATGGATTCAGCAGAGGTGCAAGTGCAGTAAGTAAGAAATAGAAGACTTTATAGCACGATGAACATCTGTTGTGGCTGCATTTAAGGGAACGGCAGCAGGCTGCTGTTCCTGAGGGAGCACTGCTGCTGACTGTATGAGCAGTCGTGTTACGTGATGCCTTTTGAGGGTTGTGGCAATCTTCTTGGGGCGGGGATGACCACATCTCTTCCTTGCTGCAATCCAGGTGACTGTATATGCTATTTGGGGAAAAAAATTGCTTGTGGAAGTTGGGTGTAGAGTAGAGCCTGTGTAACGGGTAAGGTAAAGCCAGTTAGTGATGAAATCATCTTTAGTGTACAAAAACCATCTTTTTCCCTATGCTTCATGGGCTGCAATGGCTTATTGATTTGTAAGAGCAACTCAGGCTCTGGTTTTGATCTTTAAAACCTTTAGGTGAGGGTGGAGCTTTTGCATGAGGAATTGTTCCTTCCCTTTCCCATGTTACCGTGATTGCTGTGGTCACCTGAGGTACCTGTGTGCCTGCACACCTCCTCTTCTCCCTTCAGCAGCTCAGGGACGTGGGGCTGCACACGTCTCGGGTCTGGATTCTTTGCGCTGGACTGCTTTCTGTCACCACACCTCCAGAGTGGGCAATGTCCTGGACATGTCAAAAAACCCCCTACTGCTTGTTCCTAAGTTTTCAAGAGGAGTATGTGCTTTGGGGCTGAGGGAGGAGATGCTTGCTGGAGCCGAGCAGCAGAATTTGGATGACCTGTGTGATGTAACTACGGGAGCAGAATGGCTTCTGCCTTCAGTGGAGGTGGCTGTAGATTGCAGGGGTTAATACTGGCACGTTGATTCAACTGAATGAGTTGTGTTCAAGATTTTTACAATTTACAGAGTTTTGACAGACACAGAACTTTGAAAACTATCATTTAAACAGATAGAATATTCATTAAAACTGCATTAATGAAAGACATTATTGAAGGTATGTCCAAAACAGGTGTTGTCTAAGCATCCTGTGAGTAAACAAACAGATAAAGTTAACAAAATGATAATCTCTTAACTGCAAGATGCTTTATTTCTGAAGCTAAACACATTCTGCTGAAATAAAGAGTTCCTGATATAAAAAGCTTGCTAGTTCTAAAGGTGACAATGGGCTCTAAGCATCTGATGAGGAAAGTATTTCTTGTTCCTTTACTAGGCCAAAATCCATTAGTATCTGCTTCTCCAGGTCCAGAGACTCAGCATAATCTTCATTTTCTTGCTCCTCCATGTTTTCTTTTTTCAGTTTATGCTGAAGGAAAAACACATAACCAGGCAGTAATGCACTGTTAAACTTTGAAACCAGTGGATAGTATCGGTGCTATCACAGATTAATGAAAATAGGTATCACCTAGGGCTACGTTATCTGAATTGTCATTTCCTTAGTTGATTAGTTGGTATTTTTAAAGTATTTACCAAAGAATGTATATAGGCAAAATCCTTATGTGAATAAAGAATGGAAGGCTGGAGTCTCCCCTTGCTTGAAGGAGCAATTTTTGTAGGGAAGTTGCCAAAAGGTAACTTTTGAAAGAGCAACTGATGTAAAAAGAAAAACAAATTCATAGTTGTTAAAGGCCCATGGCATCTAATGCTCTTGCAGGAGTTTCACTTAAACAAGAGCTGAACTCACGTGAACTCGGACCATCTGTTCCACTCCTAAGAATTGTAAATACGAAATAAGGAGCTGCTAAGCTATTCTGATTTGTCCATCCTGATTTTTGAATCAGGGGAACTATGGGAAATCCTGCCTAGCAAAGCAGGTGCATTTTAAAGACCCAAAGAAACAAAGAAACTTTTCTTAATTTCAAGAATAACGTACTGTTTGCTTCCTGTGCCTCCGGCTCTTTTTCAGTTCTCGTTTGGCATTAAATTCTTGATACTCTTGAAACTCTTGTTCGCAGTACTTCAGATGTTTGGCTTCTCCTCTAAAACAACCAAGTGCCTTGGCATGCTGTTAACACAATGACAGACAAGGGTCATTACATGCCCAAAGACACAGAATTATTGCTGATGATCTGCATGGTATTGTTAGTTTATCTATATTTGGAATATAGATACCTCTATCCAAATAATATGCAGCAAAACAGTATAAAGATGTGGATTGAAACCAAGTGATTTTGGATACAAGTATGCACGGGTTAAATATTTTTTTATTATACTGGCCATGAGTATATCATCCTTCAGGAACCTGCACTGAAATAACTGAACCAGATTTACGTCAGTGATTTCACTAAATCAGTCCAAATCCACACCGATGCAACTTTAGCCTCAGTGAAACCACAAAGTGCCATCCTGCAGTATTACATGATGCATTTATCTGGGATTCTGTGTTTTAGCTTTCGTTAGTCTCTTCAACAACTTAGTATTTTTCAGCGAATACTTCAGTTAGAAGGAAAGTAGATGGGAAGAAGATTTTTGTGATGTAACAATAACAGACTGAGTAGCAGGCAAGACTGCTAGACTGGAGGAGATGAAAACACCAGTTTAATCTTTGGCTGGGAGGTGAAGAGAAAGAACAACTGAAAATTATCTAGAAATAAAGAGAAACTAAATCTGTTTCCATTGTTCCTATGGCTCTTTGGTACGGATCACCCTCATTTCAAGAGAGGGAATGAGTGGTAACGTTAGTAACGGTTCACAAAATGTGCTGCAACTAGGCAGCAACTAAGATGTGTAAATCAGAGTACCAAATTCACATGAACAAAAGTCATGCAAATTTCGACAAGAAGGTGTAAAGCAAGAGAAACTCTGTATATTTCTATTAGTACGCACTAAATAGCATTGTTTTAGTGCATGAAACCAGGTGTCATTTTATGTGTGTGGCAAAAAATGCTGAAGTCTTTACTGTGTTTTCATGGAGCCAGGTCCGAGCAGTAGAATTCTGCCAACTGCCGCCCAGGTTTCCTTTAGGTGCCTCCCGGCTGGGCTCTGTGCAGAGCCAGCTTTGCTACAGGTGATCTGCTGAGATTATGGCCATACTGATCTCAAAATAACTGCCAGCCACTTGGAGGCAAGTTTTTCCAGGCAGACCTGTCTCTCTGTTGGAGTTTTCAGGATGAAGTGTCACAAAGATTAGTAAAAATTCTTACCAACCTCATTCTGCAAAGGGTAACTTAGTGTCTGACAGATTTCCAAAACATGCAGTACTCCGAGATCATCAGAAACAGCTAAAAAATGCTGCTTTGCTGAAAGATATTTGATACAGAAAAACATACAATTTAAATTCCAACAGTAACATATACCTCTACCCAAACATAAGCTACAGAGGGTACACTTCTGTTGTGATCTTTCTGGTTTGTTGATCACTACAGCAAAAAGGCAGCCTTATTCTTCTTTTCTTAACAAATGAAATTCCCTTTGGAGATTATGCTTTTTCAAACTTTTTTTCTTAAATGTTTTCGGTTGCTTTATGCCATGGCAGTACATTTAGAACTGATGTGTGCATTTTTGTACATACGGTGCAGTGTTAAATTAGTGGAAGTACAAACTTATCTAAGATCATCTCTAGCAAAATGAGTGTGCCTTGGAGTCACGGGCCATTTGGCAAACAGGGTGGCCCAGCAAAGCGTAATCACCATCAACATACGTGAGGCAATCCAGGGGCTGATGAAAGTGATCATGGATTTGGAGATGTTCTGGAAGTGAGATGGCTCGTAAGTTTTCTTCACTAAGTCCCAGATATCTATATTTCCATCATCTCTGCCAATGAAGAAAACTCCTGGTCTTGTTAAGGACCAGTGTCCCGCCGTGTATCTTCCTGCAGAGCAGCTGGACTGAAGGATCGGTCCATTCTTAATTTGTTCGAAAAGAAATAAAAGGTACAACCAAAAATCAAAGAGTGCTATCCATTCACTGCTTCACATCTCCTGTCATTTAACACTCACAATTTAAATGATCCTGTTACAAAAATCCTATCAATGGCAAAATTGGTATCACCTTCTGCAGATAAAGAGGAAAATTACAGAATTACAGATACCTTGCTTCCAGTCTATTAAGGTAGTCTATTTGCTGTTAAAATCTGTGGTCTTGAAATTTTGCCAGGTGGAGTTACCTGGATTCCTACAAGAGAGGAACTGTAACAACCCCATGTTTCTTTGTCTTCAGGTGATGAAAAGATTGCGTCCTAAGTATCAGTTCTTGGACCTGCTTAGCACACGTTGCCTTTATTATTTGGTTTCTCTAGAAGCAGGAATAATTTACTGAGAAGCTCCAGTTTTTACAAGGTTGGAATTGAAGGTCGCTTCCCCCTCCCCACCTTGTAAAAGGCAAGTTTACAAAGCTGTTTCTAAAACAGTTTTTTGTGTGAAGATAAAGGAAAAGCTCTCCTACCCAATCCATTTCTCAACTCTCTAGCTTTGTGACTTGCAAACGTTTCTGAAAATAGAGATTCTGAGGCTACTGCAGTTCTGTCTTGTGTATCTATTAATTATGTTACAGCCGTGTTAAAAGTAACTTACTGTAACCCCCTCTTCCCAAATGGCAAAGTTCCGGCCTCCGATGCTCAGAATGATGTCTTTAAAAAATGGAGATCTCTGGAGAGTGTGGATAGTTTCCGTGTGGATGGCGTATTTCTGAGTGTCTGTCTGACCTAGGGGAATGGAAAAGGTAGTTGCCTGTACCCAGTGCTTTAGTGATCATCTCCGCAGTGGGAGTTATGCACAAGGAAACAAGAGCGCAGGATCCAGTGCAGTCTTAAAAGATAATAGCCGCATGTTTTTGCTCACAAGATACAGAAATAGGAATTGCTGCAAATCTAGTTAGTTCCGTGATTTGTGCCAATAGCTAAATAGTGATGCAGCTGTGATACTGGAGAGATTTTTTGCTGTTCTGTCACGACAGCGAAACTGCTTGCGCTCTTGAGGGCATACTCCTAAGTCCTGGTATCATAGGTGAGACAGACTATTACAGTAGGTGAGGAAGAATCCTGAAAAGACAGAGTATAGGTGCAAATATTTTGAAGTTAGCCATATATTAAGGTTTAAACAGGTATTGAGAAACTTGAACTTACTAACTGCTCTTGCTGAGTCACTATCAGTTTCCACTTTCCAGTCAGAATAAACAATTTCCCCACCCTATGATGCCAGAAAAACAAAGTAAATGCAAATGTTAGAGCTTGCTGGCTCCTATCGAAGTGCCTTCATTTCAGGCTGTGACTTTACTTAATTATAACCATCGTTAAATATGTTCTGAGTAAATTAAAACCTAAATTTGAAGCCAGTAATTGAAAAAACACTAATGTTTTGGATGACAATTTTTCAGTTTTGTATTACCAAAACAGCTACTTAACATGATGTAGGTAGGCAGTCCTTCCTGCAGAATTAGATGCTCAGATTTTACAGTTCAAGCTTTGCTCCAGTATTTGGGGAAAACGTGAGCGGAAGCAAAAGGGTAACTAGAAGCTAAATTTTCATTTCTGTATGAACTCAAAACTGGGGAAGCTTTTTGAATTTTAGGTATCTAGGGTAGGCAGAGGACTATGGATAGCTGGAACGTTCTAAAGTAGAAATGTATTGAGGGGGAAACTGTAGTGTAAAAGTTTTCACCTGACATTTTGAGAAATGCTAAAAAGAATTCCTAATCTTATGGGTTCTGGAATAATAAAATATCGTTTAGTTCCTGAACATAGGTTGTAAAACTCAGCATATTTTGGAAATGTCTTGTAATTCTCCCTTGAAGTAAAGGTTCACAGTCTACCAAATATTCGGGATTTATTACTATTATTTCAAGCATGTAGTTAAATGCATTAAGATGAGAGAAACTATGGCATGTTGACTAAAAAGACAGATTTTTCTAGTTAACACCTGAAGAACACATGCAACTCCATACCTTTATGAAAATTTTGTAATTTAATTGTTCAGTCTTTTGGGTATCTTGGATTAACATTTTCATGCGCAATCTATTATTTTTACTTACTTCAGTCCCAACAAAAAAGCCAGTGGACATACTCTCTAGCACTTCATTTTTTGTTTTTGAAGCACTCATCTCTGTGTATGGCCTTTCTGTGGTGAGCAGCTGTAGTGCGTTCCGAGGTTTCCTCTTATCTGGGATACAATACAGATACATCTATTTATTACATACTGGGGTTTATCAGACCAAGTAAATCCTTTGTCTTGTAAAGGTAGTTCATAGATAAGGGGAATTTCAGGAGGAGATATGAAGACTGCCAAGTAAAGCAGCAGCTCTGTAGGTTAACTCTTCTCCTGGTGGAATCTCCCTGGTGCTGCAGCTGCTCTGAAGTCCACGCTTCCCGCACCCAGCCGACTACTCAGGGCAGCACCATTCTGTTCTTCATCAGTTTTACACAGCAGCAGCTCTGTGGGAACTGCCTTTACACATCCCCCTTAGCTGCTGCAACCAAGAGCTAATAACATTCCTGCTCTAGAGAACAGCTGTAGTGAAGAGTGGCACCTCTACCCACAGCACTGCAGAAATGCCTACAATACACGCCGTTACTTCGGGATTATTTTTTCTGAACATAGTATTCCATAGGGGCTAAAAATGACATGCTGTTTCAAGGATAATGAGACTGGGTGGGAGACTTGTATGGGGTGTTAAGTGAAACCTGGCAGAATTCATGTGCGTAGAGAACTGCTGCTATTGCATTTGATTCACGCACCTGTCTTTGCAGTCAACACACATATGTTGTGGTTTGAATATCGGTATATTTAAGAAACGTTTTCTGCCAGATGCATTTAGCTATACAACATTTTGTTGCTCAGCTTTTATTATGTATATGCTGAAATGTGAGCTTATTAAAAATGTTTTCCCCAGTGAGGTGCAATAAAAGTATTACCTGCAGTTTTGCAATGATAATGCAGTTCGCTTAAAACAATTCTGACAGGACCGTCCTCTGTGTTGGTATCACTTTCGCACAGGTTTATCTGTTCGGAAAAATTGCATTTTCTAACTCATTTCGTCAGATCTTTGAGGTACAAGACTAAATTACTTTCTGTTGTAATGGAACAGGTCTTTTCAGTTTCCAGTGTGTTCGTAGTACTCCACAAAGAGTATTTGCTGCCTTATATGCAAGCACAGAGAAAACCTATGATTTCTCTGGTGTTATCTTTACCCGGTAAGGATTGTGCCATGTTTCTAGAAAAAAAACATTTTCATCAGGCTGACTGTTTGGTTGCCAGTAATTATGGTTCTGTTGACCACGACCATGTTTCACAGTTTGGGACCCACTGAGATAGACAGCACAGTGGCTGAGAATGCTAACAAACGTACAGTATGAATACAACTACTTTTGCACCTAATACAGTTTTTAAGAGGTGTCATGCTGTTTCTTGTGAATTAGTTGTTCAAAATGTATTTTATTGACATTTTAGAGGAATGCTGAAGTCTTTCATTTCATAACCAGAAAGTAATTCACAAGGAAGTCTCATTTTTCTGGAAGAATTAAAGAGCTGAGTAGCAAAAGAATACATTCCTATGGAGTTCTGGCCAGATCTACTTGACCCTTCCGTTCTGTATTTGTGCACAGTACCTTTACGAGAGGTTCCCAGCAGAGATCTAGATGCACAGAAGTGTCTGGAACATCAAGGGGGTTACGGAAATTTTCCTTCTCTTTTACATCCTCAGTTGAAGGTTTCTGAGGAAGTATGGTGGCTGGAATATTCCAAAACAATACTGAGCTGCAAAATGATTGTATAATATTATTCCCTGGTTTTGTTTCAAAGTCAGATGCAGTTTTCCACACATTTTAAAGTCAATTTTTTAGCCTTTCATCTTCAAACTTTGCATAGCAATAGAGACTCTGAAAAGCAGACAAATGCTAGATACTCGCTTCTTTTCTAACGATGGTGTATTTTCCTTTGTTCACCATTTCCTCAGCAGTTAGTTAACTGTACAAAGCAGCCAGCCAGCATTCACACTGTTTGCTTATGGAAGGTCGCTGGGTGAAGTTACTGGCACTACCTGGGTGAAATTCCTGGAGGCTGAGAGAACTGGACAGAACTCTCTAGCAGGTGGTCTAGTAATCCAGCACAAACCTCTTTCCTAACTCTTGCATATACCAGCTGATTCACTGACTTTCAAGGCAAATGGACTCACTCCCTTGAATCTGTCATCTCACTGGAGTTCTCAGCCTTCTGATGGTTCCTGTCGCTCTTCTCTGGACATTCATTCACACATTTGATATCAACAATGATAATTTTTCTCCTTGCTGACATCTCTTTCCTTTTTTTAATAGGAGTTTCTCAGGGACCTGTACTCTTCAAGGACAACTTTACAGTGACTTTCCTGCTCTTACTTTAGGTGAAGGCTTTTAATTGGGTGTGTGAGTAATTTCTTTCATGTGCATTACTTGCACTACACTGCAAACTTATTAACAACTGTATTTGCAATCATTCTTCTAAGTGAATTTTTTGAAGTCCTCTCTGTATTGATTAGGGAAAATAACCTCGTATCATTACCAACTTCTACTCCGTCTGCCCTTCTTTTGATGTAACTAGCAAATACATGACTGAGCCCAACCACGCAGCCTTGAAACCTTAAGACTTCTGCCATCACAAAAGCTAAACTTTCATTTCCACTTTTTGAATTCTGCCCCCCTGCCAGTCTCTCACACAGGATAATATCTGGTCATAACCATCATGACTATTCAGTCTACAAGAGGAGAGTCATACAGAATAATTTTGCCAGCTAAGTCTCCAAGTTTAAATATAGTTTACAGTATTTCTGTGGCCTCAAAATCTTTAAGAGCTTTTTGTGCAAGTCACATAATCAATATAAGTGTAGAAGTGTGGCTTTCCAGGCCAATGTATGTGTGATCAACACCCTTTTTAAGGTATACCAGACTATAAATGTATACATGGGAGGTTTTTAAGTTAATGAACCCTTAATGCCATTACTGTAAGGGCTTAATTGTCCAAGAACTTGATGTACTTGTCTTCTATATAAGGAATTTCAGCTGTTCAGGATAGGCTAATAGGAATCCAGAAGCGTGCTAGTTAAATCACGGAGTATGCTCCATAAAGCTTGCCAAAGGAACCTGGAAGACATCTTGTAGATGGCGTATTGCACGTACCAGTCAGGGGAGCAGGTTACAAGCTGCATGCACATTTCACCTCTGTTTTCCAAAGTAACATTGATTTGGCTGTCCTAAAAGTAACAGTAATAATAATTACAGGGCAAGAAGACAGTAAGACACAAAAATTATACTCTGCCAAGTATGTACTTCAACACAAAAAATAGGCTTATAGAATTTAAGTCATTGTTTCTGCTTGGGTAAAGTTTGAAAATCAGGACTTACTAACTTGTAAAGTTAAGCTGTTTTACAAATGTACTGCAAGTGAACTGATACCAGCTTTGCCTGCTGAACACCTAAAATTCTAAATTAAATCAGCAGGATAAATACTTGCCGTCATGACTGCAACTTAGGCCCTCCTTAGGTTGCCATGTTTGTAATCTATTTTATCCTGCTTAACCAAAGAGCAATTAATTGAGAAATTTATCTCAAACAGTTAAGTATAGTGGGAGGGATATCTCCTTGCCAAGTTTACACTGTGAGACGTCTCTCTTGAATTATCACTTGGGATGACAGTGCTGCTTTCAAATGTTAATTATCAATAGTTAGTTTGTATATATGGAGTTCTGCAGGTTTTATAGTATTTACAATTTACCAAGTAGTCTAATTTGTTTAGAAAAATAAAGGAAAGGTGTCAGGGGGAGCAAGTGATTATAGGCTATGCTCTGATCAAATATCATTTCTAGTATATGCAAAACATAAATTTTGGCTAAATCTGTACCTATCAAAGTTTCAGCTACACTTTTTTTAAGACTTACTCTTATTTTCATTCATGAGTTGCCTGCCTAGAGTCAAAATGGTAGTCTAAATGTTGCTAAATATTGACCAAGTGATTCCTTTGTCAGTGTTATTTCTTGGTGGCAGCCTAGATTGTTCATTGTAGAAACTGGACATCTTTTAGATATGGAAGGCTTATTATAATTTTGAATTATAATATTCAGTAGAGCTACAGATTTTTTTCCAATATGAGCAGATTCATGTAAGATTGAGAACACAGCACAGTTGTAGAGCACAGCAAACAGGACAGGTGGCATCAGATAATTTGATATTTAGACATGCAACGAGAAATATTTTATCTCGATTTTACACTATGATTTCTGAGGTAGTGGATCAAGAAGATAATAGAAAGAAGAAAAGTGAATTTTTAAACTCACCTGAAAATAATCTACCAGCCAATGTATATCTCTTACTGGCTTTTTATGGCTATGCTGTATGGAAGAGACCGCACAGTATCTCACTAGAGGTGGCTCAGTGCTACTCTGTTGGACTTCCATAAGCGATGGCTAGAAATGTTTTAAAAAGAGTTATTATATTTCCAAAATACACTAGTAGATCTGCCCAAGCAAAAAAGGTTACTTTACATACTGTTAATGCTTCTTCACATATTTCAGATCAGTTTATAGAACTTTCTAGGGGTCTAATACCTTCCTTTTGGAAAAAAAAAAAAAAAGGAAAGCATTAAAATAAGCCTTTGGATACAAAGCTCTGAAAAGAATTCCAACATGCCTCCACAGGCACACACACATCCACTTATGTTTTTAGGTCCTCCTCTGTTCTTAGGTCTCTCTTTTGCTTATCCCCTTTATAGTCTTCTTCCACAGAAATCTGCTTCTCATCTTCCAAGCTACCTTTTTTCTGCCTATCGAATTCCACAATAATTTTCAGTATTACAGCAACAAATGCTGTATGTGTTTGATAGGCTTCATAAGGCAGGTGTTGAGTATATGTTGGAGCCTGTTAAAGAACAGCCTAAGTCTGCACAAAATGCAGTAAAGCCAATAAACTGGACTAATCAAGTAGAAATTATATTGTGATAATGGGTTTACTTCATGAACTCATCAGGTTTCTTGTCCTTTCTAGTTTCTATTTGCAAAGATTATCTACTCTTCTGGGTCAGGATACCTTCACCCACTTTTTCCTACAGACATACAGATGTACTGCAATATTTTTAGAATGGAAGTATTCACCATATTAGCAGCTGTTGTCTTGACTTCATCAGCAACAGGTTTTGCATTTTGCAGCTTTTCTTCATGTTCAGAAATATCCCACAGTACAATCTACAATGAGAAATGAATATATTATGAACTACTTCATCCGTTATATTAATATGCACTTTTTCAAATAAAATTCATGGAGATTTGGGGAAAAATAAAAAATTCACTGTCTTATGAAGCCTTTAAAATATTGCCTCTTCAGTCTGATGCAATCAGTTGAAAGCCTATACTAGTCTCAACAACAACAACAACAACGAGTCTTTACGGCTTTATAAAATATTGCCTCTTCAGTCTGATGCAATCAGTTGAAAGTCTATAGTAGTCTCAACAACAACAACAACGAGTCTTTACGGCTTGACCTATTTATCAGTACCACAAAGAAGCTTTGTAGAGTAGTGGCTCAGCTATAGAACAAGCAGACATAACTTCAGAACAGGATCAGAGAATTTCTGAGACAGTCTGCATTACTATGGATGTTGAGTACATCTCTTCACGATTATTTTCATAATGTGAGAAAGCGCAGAAATATCCAGTTTTATTCTTAAACAGAGAATCAACACCTGTCCATTGATACAGCCACCAGCAATGATGTTTGGATCGTGTGGACTGAACTGAAAGCAGTAAATGTCTTCAGGACACTCCAGCATTAACTAGAAAGAAGAAAAACAAAATAGTTGAGAAATACAGTCACACTGATTGTTTGTCCTCTTGCTGTTTAAACACTTGGCGTACTTAAGAGTTCTCATTAAATACCTGGGGGTGAATAGGATCCAAAATACTCCAGAAAACTATTACTGATTCCTGCAGCAATGCTTTATCAGACAGGTTAACTTGATCTTCATAAGACAGACGCTCTCTTGCTGACACTGCTATAATCCCTGATTGAGAGAGAAAATGAATTTTCTCAGAAGATACAATTCAAGTTTCAACATGCTGCTCAATTATTCTGAGTGACTTATATTTATACCTTTTGAATACAGTGCAAAAAAAAGCAAAAAAGAACCCCAACCATGTATTTATATTTTTCTTTTTACAGATTAACTTGGAGGAAATTACATTTTACACTTAAAATGAAGTTTTATGAAAATGAACCTAAGCATCAGGTTAAAATTAAACTCTCTTGCAACTGTTCCTTACTGGTGTAATACTGTGCCTGAAATAATGTGAGAGGCGTATGGCCCTGGCCACCCATCATGACATCAAATCTTGTGTGGCTCAGGTAATTTCCCACCCAGGCTGTGGTGCTGGCGATTAGTGTGCTGTGCAGCTAGAACATTTATAGAGAACTTAATTGTACCTTTAGACCCGACTGGTACAGCAATAACTGATGGAGCAGGAGAAGACATTTATTACACTTCGCTGGCACTCGGCAGAGCCACAGCCTGTTGTGGCTGTGACGTTCCTTGCAAGGACCAGGCATGCTGCGAGAACCGGCGCAGGGGGAAGGACGATGGTGTGCAGAGCCACCAGAAGGACCTGGCACAGCCGCAGCCTCCTAAGGGAGAAATCTCCCTTTCCTGTGATCTCCAATCATACATTACTGTGAGTGACTTGGCACAACCTGTCTGAGCGCCACCAAGAATTTCTCATTTTTCATCTTGTCTCAGAACAACTCAGACAGACGTACCAAATCAGTTTCAATTTGTTTTATAAAATTTGTAAAGTATGGAAGATACGTATTTTATAGCTGTCTCATAATGCATGTTATTCAAGTCTCAAATCCGTATTTTAACCGCATTACCCCATTTGGTTGGATGCCAGCAAACGCAGCTAATAGTTCTGTCCTTGAGATAGCGCAGATCTGTAAATGACTGGTACGCTTTAAGATAAACATTTGGCATGCCATCAGAACTCCTTTCTTCTCCTCCCAGGGCCTTCCAGTCATCAGAAAAAGCATTCATAATTTCATTTTGCTGCAGCGCAATTTCCATTCTGTTTTGTGAAAAGAACAGTTAACATTTTCAATAATCCAGATGTGACTATTCAGTCGCAGAATCACAAAAACTTCTGTAAAGAGGCAGCTTTTATTTTACAAGAAATTATGACCACAGTAGTGAAAAGGAAGAAAGTATTCATCCCTCAGTGACGCATCACTGTAAGGAAACGCTTTTCTATTTAAGTACCGATAACTAACTGCACCAGTTCTGTGTGGATCAAGTGCAGTGCAGTTGTCCAATTCTTCTGCAAAAACCTTCAGTAAGTGGGACTCGTGCCATGACTGAGGGCCGTAGGACAGCACCTTTGCTCTTGTGCGTAAGCCTCTGCTTGAGGGAGCAATGCTTGAAAGATCAGCTTTGTAGATTGTTTAAAAGGATCTATCACTATCAACTTTAAGTTATAATATTGATTTAAACCAATGGTCATATTTACGTGGTGTAAATGTCATGTTAATTTTCATAGAAACAAATATTAAGTTAATATTTGTTGACATTAAAATAATGAACAAAAACAAACAAAAACAAAAAAACCCCACCCACAGGGGTATCTGACAAGAACAACGGTCCACTCAGACAAGAACTCTATCTTGTATTCTACGTTACTTCAGGTAGCCTTTAATGTGTATTGCTGCAGTAATTTTACCTTAAATGTACCGATGCAAGAAATTCTTTCAACTTTGTAGATGACAGACTTTCTTCTTTCTCTTCATTTGAAAACTGTCTAGGAAAATACTGTGTGGCTGCATTTTTTTGATAGGTCCTAATGAATTGGAATAAATTTATACCTCCGTAAGTATAGAAACAATTTCAAAGACAGAAACTCTTGTAACATGTAAAATCAGAAGCTAAGTATTTTCAGTTTTTCTAGAAACTCTTTGGAAAAGAGTGAAAGAAGATGCAACCAGAGCATCCGCTTCTGTTCTCTTAATCCGTTTGTAACTGAGTAGCTCCAGAAGAGTTGCATTAATTTACATAACTTCAGCTGAGATCAGAAACAGTACATAGCTTAACAAATAAGCCAATACTTCCTCACGCTTACCATTTCGTCTGAGTACTGGCTTCTCTTACTTTTGGAGCCATTTGTATGCCCACATCTTTTAGAAGCATTTGAATACTGAAAGCTTTCTCTTGGTAGGATGTGTATTCAGCATAACTGCCTTCTACTTGTGAAGCATTCCTATCTGTAAAGGCAACTGGTGCACCAAAATTCGTGCATACTCGAGAAATCATATACTTAATCTGCAAAAGAGATATTTCTGTAGTTAGCGGAGCAGAAAGTTTTTTAAAAGTTTGTTCTCTAAAGTGAAAGCACTCATGCAATTGTAGAACTTGTTCTATTGATGATGTCTCTGCTGAGTTTACTTATATTTCTGCACTTTGAAATTCTAAAGGGCTCATATGAACAGCCTACGTAAGTAATAGAAGATAGGTCTGTGTTTCCAAAACAAGAAGTTGATTTTACATAACATTTTGGATTACTGCTAGTAGGATAAGAGAATTACACTTTCTAACTCATGCAATGTCAAAACTGTACCTTTTAATTAAAGTGTCAATATGCAGGATGTCTTATGTAATACTGCATTGGAACTCCAAGACCTAACTTAGCATCCTCTCAATGCATTTCTCCATTTTGAGTGAGGTATTTCAGCTTCCTTTGAGCAAAAAGTAGCCTAGACGCTAACGGCCAAGTGATCAGGGCCTTTGAACTTAGAGCTTAAGAAGGAGCTACGTCCAATACAGTCTCACATGCCATATATGAAGAACTTGAGATGAAAAGTTGTAAAAAATAAAATAAAAAATTTACATTTTTACAGCAACTTTGAATTTTGTGGGGGCTTTATTTAAATAACTTAAAATAAATTTGGGGTTGTGATATTTGATTAACTTCTGTTGACTCTGACCTTTGGAACAGTCTCTTTAACAGATTCTTCTTCAATCTCTTTTTCGCTACCAAGAGAAACCCAAGGTTTGGGGACAGGAGGCTTGTAAGGATGGAATTCCAGAGTTCCTTCTTCATCATCTTCCTTTTCTTCTTCTGCAGTTTCTGGAGGCTGTGACATCAAACAGTGCAAAACAGTGCTTTCTCAAAAATTGGTTACTGAAATGTAAGTACAAACCAGAAGCCCAGTTCTGAGTCTTTATTCACACATTCTTTACTTTTGTCTCAATGCGGTACGTCTGGCTATGCAGCGCCCTTGAGTTAGGTTCCACGCATTCATTTGTGCATGAGAATTTTCCAATAAACATAACATATTTAATAATTAACTACTAAAGAGAGACTGATGTTTTGGAGGCAAATCACTCATATACATAAGAACTTTTACTGATTTTCTACATTGACCTGGAATTTGCTTTTCTATTAATTGTTACTTCTGATGTTGGGTGACAAATTCATGTTGAAAATTATATAATCTGTCCATAAATCCTTTCCTATGATGCAGTGCACAAGGGGAAATCTATGTATGTAGAGTTACTTAGAACTCAAGAACATTTTGAAGTATGATTTGAGGAACATATGAATATATAATGTGAAAAATAAGGATAATATTTCTTTAAAGATGCCCAATATGTTTTATTTTTTTTATTTTTATATCTGGCTCTAGAAACCTACATCTTGACAGAGGAAATTAAAGCTTTTCATAAAAATGCAGCAATGAGGGTTATACTGGCCCTCTGAAGTAAAATACAAAAATTTAATTCAGTCTTTCTCTACAGAAAAGATATTTTTAGTGATACACATATTTTTCCATTAACATATGAACCTTCAGAGAAACATTTTGGCATGCCAAGGACATCAAATGCTTACAGATACAATACCATTCTTGAAGTATATGTTTGAGACATTAATATATTCACAGATTGAATAGTGCTGTGGAATACTTGGAATTTCTTACCTTCAGAAGGTTTTCCTTGGCTTCCTCAGAAGCAACAAGGTAAAAGCTTTGTCCGTACTGGAGCTTTGCATCAAAAACCACCAAAAGTTCTTCACCTGGATATTCCTTTTTTAATTAAGACAGTTAGTGGGAAACTGAAAGCAAATAACATCCAAAACAGATATAAGCCTGTGACTGGCAAAGATACCGCTAGGGTATAAGCAGTATCTTTGCTTCATCTTGTGGTCCCAACAGAGAATTTCATGTATTAATTGAAAAGAGAAGATGAACTTTATTTTGCAATAAAAGTAAGTCTGGGATAAAACTAATCTTTTCATACAGAGAATTAAACAGAAAAGAAACTGATTTAATGATTCTCAATAGGCAGGCTATGAATTAGAGGGAGCCAAAATATGTGAAACTCTGCCAGTTCATAGAATCAAAACTAGTAATATTTACATTAGATTGAAAATATGCTAAAAGTAATGTTAGTAAAAAAAAAAAAAAGCACATGGTGAACCATGAGAAACTTTGAGGTGTTAGTGGTCCATGACCTATACTCTTTGGCTATTACAGCATCAACGTATTTACATAGTCAAACAAGGTCAGACCTTGTCATTAAAAGAATATATACTCGGAGAGCAGGAAGTCTTACAGTGAGTATGAAACAAGCTACATACTAGGACAACTTTTCTGATAGGGTGGAAATCAGAAATTGCAGCTCTTGTTTTCAAGTCCTGAATTATGTCCTCTTTTTTAATAAGTTTGAAACAATTTTCTTCTGTGACATCTTCATCAACTCGGCAATTAAAAATTTCTTGGGTCTCTGTAGTGAAAACTAAAGGAAAGATTTCTGGGTGGCCTAGGAAAGAAAGCAAAATCACACGATAACTTTAGAGTGTTGTTTACATGTAAACATACACCTTAATAATGCTGGGTCTTTGCTGTTTCCTCACAGAATGTCTTTGAATATCTCATCTGGTATTTTAGAAGGCATGGAATACAAATTATATTCTATTTTGTTAATCTCAGAGAAAGCTCTAACATTTCCTAGTATGAGCTTTTTTGCCCCTCTCAATCAACACGTAACTAAGGGCTTTAGTGAAGAGTAATTAATGGACTGGTTTTAATCCATTAAGGACGGAACTGCGTGACTGATTTAAGAGAGTCCTTGAATAAATGTACTCTAGCCCTTCCCTGGAGAGCAGTGCTGCATTAAGCCAATGTTTAGTCTAAACAAGGCTTCGGTAGCACCTCCAATAAGGGCACTTTTCTGATTTTGGACTTTTGGACGGATCTTCCTCACATCCAGTTCAGAGTGCAGTTGAGTCTATTTCTCAACTAATAGGTGAGACTAAAGCAAGGCCACTAAGATTCAAGACAGATGCAAGACTTAAATTCTCAGCTTTGCTGGAGAATATGTTGTTTTCTACACACATGGATGTCTGTCAGATTCATGTCTTAGATGTGGCGCTGTTACCTTCATTGTTTTTAGAGAGACTGAGTGTGGCGACGTGATGCAGTGGCTGTGCTTTGCACACAACCTGAAGATAATAGCATTTGCTTCTCGTTAAGTGTATGTCAGCTGTATGTACGTGGCACTGCTCCTTCCCAAATTACATGTTCTGCCTCCTGGCTTACATAACAGACACAAGTCTAGCTGAGTCCTGCTGCCTAAGAGTCTCTCTTCTTGCCTTGCAATGCTGCCATGCTGGCCGGCTCATACCGTATGTCTCAGCTGCCGGAGTAAGAGCATTCTCCATGAAGGCCGCTATGCTTTTGGCCGAGAAGGCTGGGAGGTGTTCCCTTTGGATGTTCATCTTTCTGACAAACTCGAAAGTGGAAAAGATTTAGGGACATGTGTGCGTGGGATTTTTATTTACGGAAATGGGCTGGCTTTTGTGGTAATAGCCGATACTTTCTATCGTCTTTGTTTCATTCTTAGTTTGAGTTATTTAATATTTTCTCTTAATTCTGAGAACTTTTGATATTCTCCTCCTCGTGTCTGCCTTAAATTGAAGTTGATATATCTAAAATTATGATACTGACCAGCTGGCTCAGCATGTTTTGAGAACCCATCTCTAACCTAAGCCAATGAGGACTGGTAAAACAATAAATCCTTCTTAATCCCTATCATCTGGGAAGCTAAATCTCTGCATAAGCGTATCGCATAATAAGTAATGTTCCATTAATTTGACATTTATCCTTTAAAATCTTTCATTGCTGCTCCTCCACTGCACTCACTCTGCTACAGTCACCACTAAAATTAATGACACGTATGATGCTTCTGGCATATCCTGCACTAACCAGATATGATTTTTTTGGCATTCACTAGTTATTCTGTAGTTATTTTGTACACAAGCCATTTGTAGTGTGCATATTCTGTTAGTTCACTTTCTTCACAAATCATGGTTAATATTGCAAGACTTTTTGATATCTGAGGTTTCTGGGATTTCTGTGTGGATGCTTCAAAAAAATACAAAATCATAGGGGTCCTGATTGGGAAAGACCTCTGAAAGTCATCTGGCCCAAACGCGCTGTTGGTAACACCAGACCAAGCCAGGACTTGTTTATCTTCTGTGCTTGCCTTTCTGACATCTACTCCCTGTAGCTAATGACTGCATGACCTGGATTCTTCTTTTGCTTATCAACTTGACTATAAGACCAGGCTCAGAAAAAGTCTTTATTCCAGGGTGATTTGAAACTTCTAATCCTTTTAAGGAACTGTAAAAGTTGATTTGCAGGATTCCCAGGTCACTCTGGCCAGGGGCATGAGGCCTCATTACGATGTCATTAGGAAGCAGACTCAAACCCTATTACAAACTGCAACAGCAGAGATATACTGTACATTTTGATATATTGGAGCAAAAAAAATAAATTAGACATCCTTTTGCAAATTAAATTGCATAGGATAGAAAGAGAATAGAAACCTAGAGCAGAATGCAATTTCCATCCTCTGCCGTGCACCCCTGGTTCACAGCACAGAATGGACAGGAGAGCAAAGGAACAACGGATTTGTACCTATTGCAGTCCTCAGAGTTGGTGACATGCCTAGGGCAACTAGGGGGGCTAGAACCTAGAGATTATTTATAAACATAATTTGCTGATTCTTATGGGATTCTTTTTCAGAAGTTTATTCCTATGGCTCAAATAAATGTAAGTAAAACCAATAATTAGCTTATTTATTTGATACCTCAAAAATCCTAAACAGGAGAAACTGTTACTCAAGAAACGTGTATGATGTTACTGTTTAAAATGCTGAATCATGCATACATCCTTGTCCAAAAATGTTAATGCTAAAAAAAAAAAATCTTTTCAAAGAGACATAGGTTTCAATGTCAAATGAATCAATATGAGCATGCATTCAAGTTAAGCAAAAATACAATAGACATCACTTCAAAAGGGAGCAGAGTAGGACAGATAGTCTTTCTTCATTGCTCTACTGCTATAAGTCCAAATTAAGAACAAAGTAATGATTAGAATAAAAATATGTCCATCTTTTAGTCTAAAGGAAGAAAAATCTGTATTATAGACTTCTACATTATAAAAGGTATAGATTTAATATTGTAACATAAAGAGCTGATACTGGAATTCTTACTGTTATCAACATTTTTACGGAATGCAGCTTTTCAGTAAAAAGTATATGGCTTCTAACAAGAAGTCTGACATTGTTTTCTAACAGTAAATTGTACCCATTTAATTTGTTAACAGTAAACAGCTCCTAGAGTTACAAGAACTCCATAAAGGACCAAAGAGCCCTAAAAGAAGTGAAGAACAATTGCAGGTCTTAAGCTAAGGAGACACCACACATACAGTTTAAATCCTGCACAGTGTCTGCATATCGTAGCATTCTTTCCTGCTTTTAGCAACAGGTTTCTTCCGATAGTTTAGATATATTATGGCTTCTAACCATACTTGCCAGTAGGTGGAGGTAAAATTCTCTCTTACTATCAAGTATCTCCAGGAACACTGGAACTACGATTTTAAAAGGAATGCTTTCATCATCTGAGGGATCACTTATTGTCCATTTTCATTAATTGCAGCTTATCCATTTTGGTGAAGCTAATCAGAGTGCAATTTCCACTTCTACCCATGTGCTCACAGGATTATGCAGGAGCAAAAGTGATTTCTTCTAAAATTACCTGGTTTGTATATTGGCTACATTGTGTTTAGCTTTCAGCAATAAAGGCTGTATTGTTAAGAGCTAATTAAGAAGATAACCTTTTAGACTCTTCCTGTAAGTGGTAGATAAATTTTACATTTATATCAGTATAAGTTATATCCAAATATATAACCTGTGCAAATCAGGTTAGAAGAAAAATCTAACTAGAGATGTGAAAAACATTTAAAAATTATTTGGTGCTTAAGATAAAAGAATATATTTCAATTAAAGTAATTACATATTTTAGCTTATAATCATAACACTTAAAACTGCACAAAATTGTCTTGTTCTTGCTCATAAGCCAAGAAAATTGCTTGATACTTTGTGACATTTAAATGGCAGATTTTTTTTTCAACAAAAGATATCAGCCAGTGTCCACTGATATATAGGATTAAACAAACCAAGTGATCTGTTAAAATCATCTTCTCACCAGATTCAGTGATTTGACAAAGATCAAAGATTTAAGAAAAGATAAAAATATTTTCTTTCAATTGCTTAACTATTACTAAATGCAAACATTTTGCACCTTATAATTCTGTTGTGGTGCTCTTTATTTCCCCTGATGCTAACTCTTCAGCCCAAGATAAAGTCATTTTCTACAAACCCACACCTGTTCCAGCAATCCCTGCTGCACGCTGCCTGCTGCTCAGGGAGTGATACTGTAATAGCCACATTTCTTCATAACTTCTGATTTTCCCCATTCATAAAAAAAAATCTTTAATTTTCATTGACATTAGTAACACTGAAGCTTCAAAATATTTACAGTATTCCGAAGCTATTACTTTAAAGCCTAGTTATTGTAGCACGTACCTATACTAGCCATAGAAAGATCAACTTCATCTTTTTTACCTGAAATATAATGACATGATGTTATCAGTAATTTTTCTTTCAAACAATGTAACTAAATATATACAAACCTGTCCTTGCTAGAGCACTATTTAAAATATCTGTATGCATTTAAAGCCAAACCATGAAGAGGAAACAACAAATAATTTCTACTCAGTTCAGACTTACAACCCGTGTAAAGCTTTTTAAAACAGATCTGTATCTCAAGGAAACGTGAGTATATTTTGAACTTACAGAGATTTGAAACTTATTTTTATTTTGAGCGTATTTTGAGAGAAGCCATAAGAAATCTGTCATCTTGTGCTGCAAGGCTTTCCTCAGCTCCTCACACACCCAGAGCATCTAAACCACCGAGCCACAGCGGAAATAGTGCAACGTAGCTTTGTAACGTTCCTTGTATTGGTAACAAAACTATAATCAGTAATTGTAGGTATCTCCTTTACATAAAATAGTATATTCTAATTTATCTCATGTTTGCCTAGATGCATGGGCCCAAACTAATTGAGGTAGCTGTCACGTCAGACCAGATTACGGCTCATTTCATCGCTGCTGTACTTTACATACCAAGCTGTGTTCCTTTTCCTTTTGAGGATTTCTTAGCTTTCTTTTCACCTTTCTTCGGTGAGGATTTTTGACCTTTTGAGGTCTTGCTGGATACGATATTTTTTGCCATTTTTTCAGAGTTCTCTAGAGAAAGATATATATCATCAATAAGCTTTAAACGGACAACAGAATGCACTATGTATGAGTGAAAACTTGGTCCAAGACTTTATGTAGTTTATCATTACAATTACGTGTTCATATGCAGCCAAAGGCGTCTTTCATAATTTTAAAGCGTAAATTGTATTTTCATGTGATATACAATATATGGAAATGCTTCTTCTCTCCAGAGTGACTAAGTACGGATACTTATTATCCAAAATAGTGTAAGGTTAAATTAGGATAGGAGATTCCCTTACAGAAAGCTAAGGACCTAAGCTATGGTGGGAAGAGCTCAGGCTGAAATTCTCCACGTGTAAATATTTGTCCCAACGTCCTTCAGTGTAAACCATTACTCAGCTGCACAAAACATTTCTGAACTTTTCTATTTTGAGTTCATTTTTCAGCCTAGATCTGCAGAGGACAAACTTGGAAGGAAGTTGTACACATAATTCTGTGTAGGAACCATACAGCTGGAGCTGATACTGTATGAACTGGAGCTCTTGCTACATTTACTGCCCTTCATGCCAATATCTAGAATAAAGCTAAGAACTGCAGCACAGAAGAGGCTCAGTTCCATTGCAAAGATGGAAATGCAGTCCAGCCCAAATTCGGTGACAAGTACTGAAAATTGTTTGATGTTGTTACTGAACAGCTGGAGGCATTCAGCTGGGATACGGACACTGGGACTCTCAGTTTGTTTGTGTCCCCTCTCTTCCTGCTTTTTTTTTAAGACTGTAAACTGACTAGGAGAGGTGATGCATCTACACAGCACCTACAGTATTTGGATGCTATTATGATTTTAAGACTAACCAGAGAAAAGCAGATGCATTTACAGGACAGAAAGAGATGGCACCTTCAAGAACTGAGTCATGATATAACTATTTCTGATGACGTCTAAGAGGAGCTACAGCCTGTCTGCCTGCACGTGTGAACAATGCAGTTACTGTCAAGATGCTGAAGGTGAAAAGGTGAGTTCATAGATGTTCTATCTTTAGACTTTCCCAGTGAAAGACCTAAAATAGTCTGAGCACTAAAACAGCCGTGCTGTGGCCTGTGTGTTGTTTGTTTCAGTGATCATCCTGGCTTTGGGCTGGTCTTTCCTTCCCAGAGCAAGAAACCATGCTATTCTGTTTTGTAACACAGATCTCAAATACTCCACAAGCAAGCACACAGAATCACAGAATCACAGAATCATCCAGGTTGGAAAAGCCCCTTGGGATCATCGTGTCCAACCATTAACCCTACTCGCAAATTCACCCCTAGACCATATCACTCAACACCACATCCAAGCGATGCTTAAACACATCCAGGGATGGCGACTCAACCACCTCCCTGGGCAGCCTGTTCCAACATCCCACAACTCTTTCCATGAAGAACTTCTTCCTAGTGTCCAGTCTAAACCCACCTTGTTTAAGCTTGAAGCCATTCCCTCTAGTTCGGTCACTAATTACCCGAGAAAAGAGACCAGCACCAGCCTCACTACAATGTCCTTTCAGGTAGTTGTAGAGAGTGATGAGGTCTCCCCTCAGCCTCTAATCTGAATTTTAGTTTGGAGATGGCCACTCATGGCAAAAGATAGGTCATGGATTATAGCCTGGGTTTGGGATCTATGTTAGCTTCCTACGAATTCAGGGTAAATTTTGCTCTTGACTTCAAATGGAGTAGAGTCTGACACTCTAATTAGAGAGTTACGTATTTTTCTTTATCAGTCCAATCAAAGTAGAAGAATATACTCCAAAAATCTTCAGGCTCTTTTCTCTGTCATACTGGATCTTGCAGATGACAGGTGACAAGCTACATCCACTGCAAGTTGGTGCATTTCCCCATTGTTTTATCATTAAGGCAAATACAGCCTGCTTCATTAATCCCTCTGAAGAACTGTAGCAATTTCAGCTTCTGTCCTTTCCAAAAAGCAATGACAATACCCATGCAAAACAGGGTAATGTTTCAGAATTCTGAAACTTCTGCCTTGCAGAAAAGCAATGACAATACCCATGTATGTTTCAGAATTCTGAAACTTCTGCCTTGCAAGGGATGATGGTTTTGGAAGATTAAAAAAAAAAACAAACAACCACAAGTCATGTATAATGAATGTAAGGAGAAAGTTAGGAGTTTCACTTACTAAAAAAAAAATAAGTGTGAGGCTATTTCTTATCCACGTCATTGTATATTTTACAAAAAAACACCTGTGACCTGTTTTATAAGTGGATTCTGTAACTACTCTTGAAACCAACATTGTAAAATAAGTGTGAGGCTATTTCTTATCCACCTCATTGTATATTTTACAAAAAAAAACCTGTGACCTGTTTTATAAGCGGATTCTGTAACTACTCTTGAAACCAACATTGATGCCTCTGGACAAAAGAGACAGGAAAAGAGGAGAGGCTAGCTGTTTTAGAAATTAGCTGAAGGACAATATGAGCCATCTCATCTATATTACAGTCACATTGTCTTACTTCACCATTTCCTAATTATAGACTGAAACAAAGCCCATTTGGAAATTCTGAGTTCTTTCTTCTGACCAACTTAAACCCTAAGTCACATGAATAGAGAGGAAACACAGAGGGCTGAGATAAGTCACACGCCTATGTTTAGTATAATAACTCGCAAGTAAAAACATCCCTTTTCCTTCAACTGACTTCAAGCACATTAACCTACAAAAACAGCTAAAATTTTGCAAATTCTTTCCCAGCCATGCAGTTCCTCTTCCTTTCCTGAAGGACTCGGGCGCAGAGGTACGCACAACGGCGCGGTGCGGGTAAGGGCGATGCTGGTGAAGGCAGCGCTGGGGACGGAGTGTATGTGTATGCTTGTGTTAACGCCAAAAGGATCCCTCTTTAAGGGCTGCACATGAACACAACAGTCCATAGGACAGAATGCCATGAGCTGGAAAGCAGATAGAAAAGTACAAAGCAATTATCTCTTTTCACAACATCCCCAATACCGTATCGCCTCGGCCCATTTCGCATCCTGCAGGCATTTGATTGTCGTGGTCAGTGCCTAGGAAATGTTGAAGGCCTCCGAAGAAAGCAAAGCCACAACTTCTAAAAACTTCTCTGGAAGCACAATCAAGCCAACAGGCATTTACAAAGTATGTATGCAAAGTTGGTTTTTTTACACAGGATTATGCAACCCCCAGTGCTCCCTGCAGGAAACCAACGTGCACCAAGAACTTTAAAATAGGTACTGAAGAGCAATCTTCTGCACCCCACCTCTTTCAAGAAAGAAATAAAGGGACAAATATCCTAATGGTTCTTAATGTACAAGATAAAAGCCAGTATTTTCAGAGGTTACCTCTTCGTTCAAGGGTTTGGTTTTTTCACTCCCTAAGTTTTCACATGAAGTATCAAATCCTATCAAGAAAACCATGAAAAAACTGGTGTCTGTATTAGAGGATAGTCTGAAAACATGACCAAAAAGATATTTATTCTGTTGCTGGTTCCTGTCCTTTTGAGTATATTTCTGTACTGCTTATTTAGAAAGGACTCTAATATGTGCATCTGTCCAGAAATGTGCAAAGGTACTATGCTTATATAAATTCATGATTCTATGACTGAGAGGTTGGAAGCAACATTTAAATTACAGAATCTGAAAAATTTAAGAGTGCAAATCCTACAAAAAAGAACAGCCCTTGAAAATTAATCATTATAATCATTGCCATGTATTTAATTTTTAAAAAGTGGGTAATTCATTATACTGAAATTTCATTAAATACGTTAGGTCTAATTTTTGAGTGGAACACGGTGTTACATTATTTAATTGGTAAAGCCCAAGTAAATATTTGACAACTTTGTTTGATATTTTGTAGCCTAGTTTATTTATAGATGGCTGTAATATTTTAAACATTAGGCTCAAGAGAAAACATCTCAGAGTATTCTCCTAATCATTTAATGTACTGAAATATTTACAGTTATAAAGCAAATCCGTGAAGTTGCTAGGTACTGCAAAAGGGTACAGTTAATTAGCTATCAGTGCTACAAGAGATGCTGTCTGAACTGAGGGCACAGAATGATTCATTTGTTACTTAATTGAAAGATTTAAGGTCAAACCCGTGTGCATTATTAATTTAGGACTGTAATTTACTGCAATTTGGAATGACAGAAGAATCGAGTGTGCTTCCATGTAACAAAGACACTACAAGGAAAAAACATGTGCTACGTGCCTTTTTGTTTTACTACCAAGTTAAAAATCACATTTCTGTCTGTAAACATTTATGAACTTGTTAAAAATATCATCTCAAGAATGCCCTAATCTCTCCAGAAATCCATATACAATGTTCACTTTTATTAAATACATTCTACTTTGGCCTATACAAAAAGCAAATAATATGAACACCTAAAGTTCGCATTATTAATAATGCTTGTGCAGATTTGGACATACTTTCATTGTAGAAGTTGTAGGGAGTAAGGCTGAAGTTTTGGCAACTGCCAAATCATTTCACCATGTGAATAGTTCTGTTTGAATGTACCTGATTTCACACGTGCAGCTTCTCACTAATCTAGGCTAACCGAGAGAGAAGTAGCTAGAGGCTCTGAGATGCTAAGTACAATACCTGTAAAATTAGATGAAGAATTAATAAGAAAGGCATAGAGAACAAACCGGAAAACTTTATTAAAGCGTTGGATAACACTGTTTTGTTTCTCTCATTTCTTCCAGCCAAAGAGCAATAGAATAGAATGGGAAAAGTTACAACACGGACGACTGATGCTATGGAACGTGTTTTGTACTAGGAATAAATTAGGATTCTTTTCAGCCTGGACCAAAGAGGACGTGACAGAAGTCAATAAAATCATGAGAGGCATGGAGAAAGCGACCGGGGGCTGATTATTCATGGTCTTTTGTAATACAAGATCCAGCTGGCATCACATGAGCTGACCAGGGGACAGACTGAAAACAAACAAAAGTAGTACCCAAGTGTTCCACGGCACAATAGCTGGTTGAATTATGGAGTATGCTGCCTGGGGACAGGACAGCTGCCAAAGGAACACGATTTCAAAAAGTAACCGGGCAAACAGATGAAAAATTGAGGACTACTAAAAATCGTAATGCCTCTGGCTACGGAAACAAAGTCATAAATCCAAGAAAAAAGGGTGTGGAGAGTGAAGTATGGCTTTATTATAATTTTGCCCAGGCCATTGCTGGCCCTGACAGAAATTCTGGTGCCAGCCAGTACAGCTGGTAGTTGTTATTAAATAGATTAACGATCTGGTTGGGGCTTCAACAGTTAATGACAAATTTTAAGTTGTCATAACACCATCCCGTCAGGAAGCAAACAGTGGCATATGTTGCCTTGTTAGGACTTCTGAACCACAAATATTATGTTGTAAAGCTTTACATTAGATAAGACTTTATCCTTTTTCTTTATTTTTTGGCCCGCGGGCAGAGCTTTCGGGCAGGTTCCGCGCTCAACGAGGAGGTCGCAGGGACCAGGCCGCGCTCTCCGCGCCGCAGCCTCGGCGGGGTCCAGCGTTTCTCGCTGCCGCCCGTGCCCTCAAACCCGTC